GACAGACGGACATGACGAGCACAATAGTGCATTTTTTCCATAAATGAGAAAATGCTCTTAAAAGGCATCGTTGTTTAGACGAAGTCACACTCGATTGTTTGAGTGTTAGCTCCCAATTATACATGACTTGGTCAACGTCATGTTGAAATGGCACTGCATCAAAGTTTAAATGAATAATTTACACGTTATTATAGGACGGATAATAAATAAACTACAACGGATATTAAAGTTTTGATGAATTTCTTTTAATTGGACATCAAATATATTTTGCATTTATTCTCCGGCAATCAGACAGCAATCAAGATCGCCTATTGCAACTCATATTGCCATCGTGCGTATACCCATTTATAATAAACTAATGATTATTTAAAACAAATATAAACACGCTATTCATGGCAGCATTTTTGTTATTTCCAAAATGGATTTTTGTGGATTTTATGGATTTTTGTGATTATTTGCATCATGAATGCAAATAAGAATTATTTGCATTATAATGATGACAGTAATTAGCATAATATTGAAATTAATATATCATTTATGAAAAGATGATATATTCGCTTGAATCCTAAAGAATTATTTTTACTCATGTGCATTTAACATCAGTACTGTGCATGCAAGGATAGAATTATTAACACAAGATCCTAGTAATGACCAGCAGACAATTCTTTCCTTGCGACGTGTCATGCGGAAAATGTCAACTGAATTCAGTAGATTTCTGGGAAACCCGCCCGGAAATATCAAAGTCACTAAAGTAAAAACTTTCTTCCAAGAAAACCTAATCGGCCACGACCACTGCGTCTCGATCGCACTTTCCTGTACTGTCAAGGCACAGGTTCTCTCAGTGGTTCTCAGTTCTGCTGGTCTTCCTGCACTGCCGGAAGGTTCTCAGTTCTGAACAAGTTCTCTCAGTGATTCTCAATTCTGCTAGCCTCCCTGCACTGCTGCCGGAAGGTTCTCAGTTATGAACAGGTTCTCTCAGTGGTTCTCAGTTCTGCTGGCCTTCAGCCTCGGATCGCAGACCTACCGCCTATACAGAACTTCTCGCCCAGGCTAGTCCGAAACAATGCAGATTTAGCTGGTTTCTGTGAATGGCACTCTCTCGCGCGCACCTGTACACTGTACAGTGTACAATGTACACAGTACAGTGTACACTGTACAATGTACACCGTACACTGTCCCATGTACACAGTACAGTGTACAGTGGACACAGTACAGTGTACGGTGTACACCGTACAGTGTACGGTGTACACCGTACAGTTTACAATGTACACAGTGTAGTGTACTCAGTACAGTGTACACACAAAATTGTTAACAGCAAGTGCGCGACGAACTGTGCGCAAGTGTTCACAGTTCACACTATTGTGTGAACTGTATAGTTTTCACACAACCACACCGTCCTGTTGACACGGAAAAACGCTACAGAGTCATCACATTGATTAAATATTAAAGAAAGAAGATCACGCATGGATTATATTGATCAGTACGATTCTTCACGATGAACTGTGAACGATGGTATAGAACGTAAATTTGGGATAAGCTAACCTAAATATACTTGAAGTATTGGCAAAAATATCTAGGAACAGAAATGAAAATTGTGAATCGACTCCATTATAACTTTTATACACTTATCGCTCGCTCACACAACGTCAATGGGATTGCAGAAATTACATAAGGGGATTCAACGGTCTAAAAGTTTGATTGCTTTGGAATGTAAGAGACATCGCCGAGAGATTTTGTATTTTAAATATGGCCATTATATGTGGCAAGGGTGGTGCCTTGCACGCAAACATTTGTCAAAAACATATTTCAATATTTCCTATAGATTTTTTACTACGATTGAACAATGACACAGAAATTACTGGTATCGACATAAAAGCCATTAACATATTTCAAAAATTCTTTGAGATTTTGTTTTATTTTTATTACTTTTGAAAAATTACACTGAAATTACTGCTATCGACATAAAAGCCATAAACATATTTGAATAACTGTAGAGATTTTGTTTTATTTTTACTACTATTGAACAATGACATTGAAATTACTGGTTTCTACATGAAAACAAAAAACATATTTCAATAATTCATACAGATTTTTTTTTATTTTCATTACTATTGTACAATGACACCGAAATTGCTGGTCTCGAGATAAGAACCAAAAACATGTTTCAATAACTTTTGATATTTTGATTTATTTTATTACTATTGAACAATGACACTGAAATTACTGGTATAGACATAAAAAATGGTTTTTGTTGAAACTTAGATACAACGGTGATTACAGTCGTGAATGACGGATTTATAAGACTTTATAAAGAACAATTTGAATGATTTATAAGAATTTATAAAGAACAATTAGAATGACTTATAAGAATTTATAAAGAACAATTAGAATGATTTATAAGAATTTATAAAGAACAATTAGAATGATTTATAAGAATTTATAAAGAACAATTAGAATGATTTATAAGAATTTACAAATCAAGGTGAGCGACGGCATAAGCGGCATCAGACAGACCACAAAAATCTCGCTCAGCGTTCAGTCGTTAAAGTTGTGAAGGGCATTATTGCGGCCGACACTAAAAAACTACAGTGAATAATGTCATAAATGATAGGAATAAATTTCATTTGATTACGGGAAAAAGTGAATGCAACCTGTACACGCAATGCATAAAAAATACAGATATACTAACCTCCGTAAAGCGGTCATTCACTCACTATATTCGATAAATATGAATGTAGTGATTGCCCTAAAACTTCAAAGGGGTTTATTCGAAGATAGATGTCTTCATAATGCGCTGACAAGAATAGCTTCCTAACTGACAAGATTGTGGAATAAAATAACGTTATTTTTATTCTGGCCACGGCAACCACACACGGAAGGCGAGCTCGACATGTTGCTAACAAGTCGAGTCACGCGTGATCAGCTGTGATGGCTGCAAGACTGCATCAATGAGTGTTATAGATCCGGGCGACACTACAATGCTGTTCTCGATGATAATGATGCTGACCACGTTGCAAACCACAAGCCACAAGTTGCAAACCACATGCCACACACAAGCTGTGTATTCCAAAGTTTACATGCCACACACAAGCTGTGTATTCCAAAGTTTACATGCCACACACAAGCTGTGTATTCCAAAGTTTGCATGCCACACACAAGCTGTGTATTCCAAAGTTTGCATGCCACACACAAGCTGTGTATTCCAAAGTTTGCATGCCACACACAAGCTGTGTATTCCAAAGTTTACCACTAATACTATTCAATTTGATCCGTAGGCGATATCTGGGGTGAGTACAAATTTACCCATTCCGCAAAAATCAAATAAATTGTCATCAGCCACACTACATGTTTTTTTGGCTTAGTGGGATACCCCAGCTGGGAACAACGCCGAATGCAGTAATTTTTGGGCATGCCAAAAAAGAACCGTACAGTGAAGGTCTTGCATTATTTACCATACAGAGAAATTTGAAGTATGCTCAACTTCTGATCGATCCGAAATAGAGCGTTATATTTTATCTCTAAGTTATGTAACAAAATGTAAGCATATTATATAATATTATATCTTTCTACTATTTTTATTATTGAGAATGCGAAGTGCAATAGTTGGTTTGGAAATACATACATGGTCCTATGGTAACTGCTTGTTTTGCATTAAAATAATTTCGAGGAAGTGAAGATAATGGGGGACTATTTCATAGTTGATTTTGGCAATGATATATTCCAGCATTTATTGCGAGCTTGAACGTGTCTTGTAAGTAGAGCACATGATGTGAAGGCCCCGAGTTTGTGACCTATAACAGGTCGTATTGATTGGGAGTATCGGCGACACGCAACCTGAACTTCAGTAGTGACCTTAATATTATATCAATAATTCAAACCTGGCGTGGTAGCCTTGAAGGTTTCAGTGTTTTTATTGGAGTCGAGGTCTCATTATTTCATTTTATACAAATGATTCATTATTCTCATAAGTTTCAAGGTCACTTTTGGTTTCACTATTACTATTGGTTACAAGGTTTCAGCATTCATTTTGGTTTACAGGTTTTGGTATTTATTCTAGTTTAAAGGTGTAAATAATTTTTTTTTTGCTTCTGGGTTTTGATATTTTTTAGCATTTCTCCATATTGTTAAATTTTGTTCAGTAATACTTTATTAGGTTCAGTATTCCCGTATTAAAGTAAGTAATACCATTACCGTATTAAGGTAATACTATTACCGTATTTAGGTAAAACTATCACCGTATTAGGATAATATTATTCCCGCATTAAGGTAATACTATTATCGTATCAAGGTAATACTTTACCCTATTAAGGTTATACTATTACCGTATTAAGGTAATCTGTGACGCACAAGTTACTCAATCAAGTTAGAAGAAGATTCATATTAAGTCACTTCAATCGATCACGTTGATAAGGATTGCCGATAAAACATGAAATAAATCTATAGGCATTAGCAAGATCGAAATTGCTGTGAAAATGAATTAATCTTATTTAAAACAAGTTGTAAACATACCAACATTTTCTCGCACACGAACGTTACACGTGAATTCGATTAAAAAATTTATAGAATCTGGCATCGGTACAAGCGAATAGCCATGCAATGTACTTTTCTATCGGCATGACATTTTTTCGAAAATCAGTCAAAAAATACCGCCTCGAACAGCACGGCATGTGAGCGCTATGCAAAAGATTCTCGAAAAATTAAACAAATTTTTCGAGATAATTTAATATTTAATTGGTATAATAATCACAAGATACATTTTTGATATGTTTTATAAACGAAATCATTTTATAATATTGTGAAATAATCAAACAAAATTCATACAAAATATTGTAGATGCATGATATAATGTCACCCATTAAAAAATTACGTGAATTGGCTTTTCTGCACAAATTTAATCATTTAAAATCACATAAAATCATAAAATGAAGAGAAAATAATTCAAAAGAACATCGTAATCGGAAGGATTTTAAAGAATATAGTAAATTTATTTTCATACTCACAGTAGTGATGCATTCTTGTAGCGGTCGTAAGCTCAACGCGAGGCATTTTATATTTGTGGTTAGAAGAACTGAAAAGGAAATAATCTAAAGCAAAATGCAACGAAGAAGGATGCCGCGAGCGCCACAACCTCATCCAGCCGAGACTGACGACCTACTGGCTAGTGGCTACTGCTGCTCCTTGCGTCAGCTGTGTTGACAGTCACGGCCTAGGGTAACGTTTACAATAGAAGGTTCAAAAATTACCCTACGAGCCATGAAGGACGACCTTTCATAGATCATTGTGTGCTCACGCTCGAGTGTATTTCTAATTGGATCTGAGAATTAATTGAAACAACAACAGAAATCTTAATGCATATCAAACATTCTAGAAATTATTTATTTCCTTCTCAAGTGAGTCATGAAACATAACACGAGTCATGAAACATAACAAAATTTTAATGCATATTTTGAGCGTATAAATAATCGGAAGGATTAAGATCGGGAATACTCGTCTATCGTTTTTATCGTTGAAGTACATAATAGTCAATAATAGACAACACTTGTGGTCAGAGGACGTGCTATTCCATCTTAATCATCATTTTATGAACTAGATGCATATTATTTAAAGGTTAGTCTCCACAATTGAGCATGTATTGTTGAGAATTTTCAGCCAAAATTCGCGAATTTCAAGTCAAACGGAAGCTTTCTTGTTGCTAGGTAACCGGCCATTGAACCTGCAAGCACAAGGTTCAGAATCGAACCCTAATATGGCGAGTAAATCTTACCCTAATATGGGGAGCACTCTTACCCTAATATGGAAAGGGAACTAAATGTAGCCGCATTCACTTAGACACTTCACTTTTTTCCAGTTTGGACCCTCTGATGGCTTATTACATTGACCCACCTGATAAAAATACAACAGTATGAATTAAAATGATTCTTTTTCGAGAACTCAGCAGTCGTGCGAAAATATTGCCATGTTTAATGGAATATTTAAGGTCTTTACTGTGAGTGAAAGTCGACGTGAACGCGGAGTGGCAGTGGAATTTTCCGTGCAGGATCCGCGATGTAGGCGCGGAAAACTGGCATCTTGACAGGAAACGCGGAATTTCAAAAAACAATTGGAATTATGGAAACCGTTTCATCAAAATAAACGGAATTGGAATTAACTTTGTTAAATATATCAATAAATAATGATTATTTTCTAGCAATGCTAATTTAATACATCGCATGAACGAAGACAGACATAATTACTTAATTATGTACCATCTGCAGCAGAAAATTTCAGTGTTTGAACAAATCGCGTGCATTAATTAAGTGTATTAATATGTATTTAAAAATGTAAATAATATATGAGGTTTAATATGTATTTAAAATATAAATAATATAGAGATTAAGCAAATAACTAGTGATTGTTAATAATCAGCAAAAAATTGATATTAAACTTAACAACATATTTGCTGCAGGTTTGACTTTCGATTAGCTATGTTTTTTGTAAACACGAGACTGTGTAACTTGTGAAGCACGAGACTGTAACTTGTGTAATACGAGACTGTAACTTCTGAAGCACGAGACTGTAACTTGTGAAATACGAGACTGTAACTTGTGAAGCACGAGACTGTAACTTGTGTAATACGAGACTGTAACTTCTGAAGCAGGAGACTGTAATTTTTGAAATACGAGACTGTAACTTGTGAAATACGAGACTGTGTAACTTATGAAACACGAAACTGTGTAACTTGTGAAACAAGAGACTGTGTAACTTGTGAAGCACGAGACTGTGTAACTTGCGAAACACGAGACTGTGTAACTTGCGAAACACGAGACTGTTTAACGTGTGAAACACGAGACTGTGTAACTTGTGAAGCACGAGATTGTAACTTGTGAAACACGAGGCTGTGTAACTTGTGAAACACGAGACTGTGTAACTTGTGAAGCACGAGGCTGTGTAACTTGTGAAACACGAGACTGTGTAACTTGTGAANACTTTACGCAATCAAACAGCGACTTTACGCAATCAAACAGCGACTTTACGCAATCAAACAGCGACTTTACGCAATCAAACAGCGACTTTACGCAATCAAACAGCGACTTTACGCAATCAAACAGCGACTTTACGCAATCAAACAGCGACTTTACGCAATCAAACAGCGACTTTACGCAATCAAACAGCGACTTTACGCAATCAAACAGCGACTTTACGCAATCAAACAGCGACTTTACGCAATCAAACAGCGACTTTACGCAGTCAAACAGCGACTTTACGCAATCAAACAGCGACTTTACGCAATCAAACAGCGACTTTACGCAATCAAACCACGACTTTACGCAATCAAACAACGACTTTACGCAATCAAACAGCGACTTTACGCAATCAAACAGCGAATTTACGCAATAAAACTACGACTTTACGCGATCAAACAACGACTTTACGCAATAAAACTACGACTTTACGGTATCAAACAACGACTTTACGTAATCAAACAATGACTTTACGCAATCAAACGATTTTATGCAATCAAGCAGTGACTTTACGCAATCAAACAACGACTTTACGCAATCAAACAATGACTTTACGCAATCAAACTACGACTTTACGCAGTCAAACAACGACTTTACGCAATCGAACTGCGACTTTACGCAATCTGACATCGATTTTTCGCAATCAGTCAACGACTTAACGTAATCAAACGACTTAATGCAATCAATCAACACCTTTACGCAATCAAATAACGTCTTAACGCAATCAAACAACGACTTTACGCAATCAAACAACGACTTTACGCAATCAGTCAACGACTTAACGTAATCAAACGACTTAATGCAATCAATCAACACCTTTACGCAATCAAACAACGTCTTAACGCAATCAAACAAGGACTTTACGCAATCAAACAACGACTTTACGCAATCAGAAAGCGACTTCACGCAATCAAACAACGACTTAACGCAATCAAACAACGAACTTACGCAATCAAACAGGGACTTTACGCAATCAGAAAGCGACTTTACGCAATCAAACAACGTCTTTACGCAATCAAACAACGAGTTTATGCAATCAAACAGCGACTTAACGCAGTCAAACAACGACTTTACGCAATCAAACAACGACTTGACACAATGAAACAACGACTTTACGCAATCAAGCAACGACTTTACGCAATCAAACATCGACTTTACGCAATCAAACAACGACTTTACACAATGAAACGACTTTACACAATCAAACGACTTTACGCAATCAAACTACGACTTTACGCGATCAAACAACGACTTTACGCAATCAAACTACGACTTTACGCAATCAAACTACGACTTTACGCAATGAAACTACGACTTTACGCAATCAAGCAACGACTTTACGCAATCAAACATCGACTTTACGCAGTCAAACAACGACTTTACACAATGAAACGACTTTACACAATCAAACGACTTTTACGCACTCAAACTACGACTTTACGCGATCAAACAACGACTTTACGCAATCAAACTACGACTTTACGCAATCAAACTACGACTTTACGCAATAAAACTACGACTTTACGCAATAAAACGACTTTACGCAATCAAATAAACTATTAAAATACACCTGATAGCCTGATAGGGCACTATTGAAGAATGGCATCATTCGAAGAAATTTCTTCCCGTTTCTCTAAATTTCATGAAATTAAAACCCATCGCTTACCTCTTCGAACATGGCTTTGACATCCACATATCCTTGCCAGTTGGATCGAATCCATTTGCTAGCAAGCTGATAGCTGATGGAGTCTGCCTCGGGGTGAAGATGCTTGTGCTTCTGCAGGGCCATCACCCTAACAAAATTTGGTAATCCAAATCAGCTCGAGCTTCTGGTAATCCAAATCAGAAGCTGCCGCGACTGCAAATTTTCACTGGGTAACAGAATTTAGAGTCGCCCCAGCTTCTGGTAATCCAAATCAGAAGCTGCCACTCTGTAATTGTGAAATATTCTATTAGTTAGGAACACCTCTGTATTTGTGAAATATTCAATTAGTTAGGAACACCTCTGTAATTGTGAAATATTCAATTAGTTAGGAACACCTCTGTATTTGTGAAATATTCTATTAGTTAGGAACACCTCTGTATTTGTGAAATATTCAATTAGTTAGGAACACCTCTGTAATTGTGAAATATTCAATTGCTTGTTCCGATGTTTTAAAAACGCGTTGCATGGTTTGCATGTCATGTGACAGGCTGCATGGGTATCTACTGTATCAGTCATATTAAATAAGATTATCGATTGTTTAAAGGATTTTTAATAAACTGTTAGCTTTTATTTTTCAACATATGGTATTCGTCACTATACAGTGCCCAGACATAATGTAACGTTAAAATAGAAAATTCCACACATACAATAATGCACAATATACTTTATTTAAGTGCATTAATAGACTTCACAATGGAAGACGCAAATAAACAATTTCATTGAACATGTTAAAAGTTTTCAATTTTATAACTGTCAACCTACAACTCACCCAATATAGTCAAGAACTTTCTGACTCTTCAGGTAGGATAAAGATTATAGGATTATTATAGATTAGACAAGTAGAAGAACCTAGAGGATGATTATACAGGTTAGAAAAGTAGAAGAACCTGGAAGATGATTATAAAGATTAGACAAGTAGAAATACCTGGAGGATGATTAAAAATTAGGCAAGTAGAAGAACCTGGAGGATGATTATAAGATTAGGCAAGTAGAAGAACCTGGGAGATGACTATAAAGATTAGACATGTAGAAGAACCTGGAGGATGATTATAAGATCAGACATGTTGAAGAACCTGGAGGATGATTATAAAGATTATAAAAGTAGAAGAACCTGGAGGATGATTATGAAATTAGACAAATAGAAGAACCCCGAAGATTATACAGATAAAAGAAGTAGAAGAAGTGAATGAAGATAATATAAATTAAATACGTTGCGAGCCTGGAGATTATGCAGAATAGAGAAGTAGAATAACATTGACGAAAATTCTACCGAATAGACTAATAAAAAACCTTAAAGACGGATTGAACAAACAGGCAAACCTGGATATAGACTATACAGGTTACAAAAAAGATTCTTTATAAAAAGTATACGATGTGGAATAAAACCTCAGCATTTATTGAAATGATCGAGAATTTCATAGTTGATAATATAATATTTTA